AAAAAAAAAGGGGTTTTTTTTTTTAAAAAAAAAAAAAAAAAAAAAAGAAAAGAGAGAGAAAAGAAAAGAAAAAAAAAGATTCTGGACATGGATCTGGAACACTGTCACCATCTCCCCCTGCCCACCCCACCCCAGATTAAACAAAAGACCCATTTCCCCTCCCCTACCCCAAAATGATACACCAGTAAATAGTAAAAAGAAAAATAAAACTACACACATGCTACGCCGTAAAAATGCAGAGTTAACACTATTGGGAAGAAGGCTGTGGGTTGCTGAGATGGTCTTTGAAGAACAAGCAGTATCCATCTGCTCTCCCTTTTCCCCAGCCCACCCATCACCAGTGAGAGTCCTTCATGGAAGGGGCAATTTGTTTGCGTGTGTTTGTCTTTGCTTCTTTTCCAGCAAGCCCCAGAACAAACAGCTTTAAAATCCCCCCCCTCCCCCCACCCCATGTTTGGGCTGGTTTGAAACCATTCGCAGCATGGAACTGCATAGAGCACTTGGGCAGCTGCAGGGCACAGAAACTATACTGTCTCTTCAAAGGGCATCTTCTCAAGCCACCTCCACGCACGCTCCCAACCAAGCAGAGCTGCGCACTCACTTGCGCTCAAACCCACAGTCTGATCTTTACATAAAAACTGGCCAGAGTGGGTGCCGGGGAGTTAGTTCTTATCTTCCTTCTTGTCATCATCCTCAGAGGGGTAGGAGTGCCATGTGAGCCGCTCCTCGTAGAACGAAATGACCACCTGGGGGCACTTGATGTTGGCTTCCTTTGCGGGAACCAGGTCAGCTTCATCAGAGTTCTTCCTATCAGGGCAAGGCAGAAGTGCAGTCAGTGGGGAAGGAAGGGGACACAGATGACTGATAACCTAAGAGGCAGTAGGGTAAGGCAATGGATCCTTTAGCCAGCTTGCCAAATGACTGCAGAGCAGAAAGATGGCCCACGGGACTGGGTTCCTCAACTGTTGGTTCTGTACCCAGCCCACAAAGTGAGGGAAAACCAAACCCCTGCCCCCTTCTAGTGTGCAGGTTTCAAGACAAAGCGTGGTAAACAGCTCCCACATCTGGGGCCGATTCTGATTTGACCAGCAGCCAAGCCCTGTTCCACCATAGCCAAAAGGGGGCAAGCTGTCCATTGCGTTTCTATTTCAGATGCAGAAAAAGTCTTCTGAGCACAAGGCCAGCAATATCAACCCATGCACTGTGCCACCTATTGTAGAGACAAAAAGACAACCCCAAAGGCCCTCCCTGTTCATTTCAAATCCACATTCACCCCAGCACAATGAGTCATAACAGGTGGCAGTGCCGCAACAGATTTCATACCAGGTAGCATGCAGCTTCTCCCCGCCCCATGCACGGAAACATGCTCACCACTTCATCAGGAACATGAGCTCCCCGCTGGAATCTGTGGCACCAATGATCCGCTCAGGTTCAAATCCCCGGGCAAAGCCTCGTGGTTTCTCCAACTGAAAGAGTCCAAGAGGGAGAATATTTGTGCCACATCCTGTGTGTCATCCTACTCCAGGATGACTATCAGCCCAAGAAGAGAAAGCTGGGGAGGAGGAAAGGGGATTGGACCACCTTTTCCACACACATATGCAGAGCCCCTCTAGGTAGCATCTATCAACTCATTGGAGCCACATGCACTAGTGTTCTCTGTCCCATCCCCACCCACCCACCCCCTCAGGAAATAAGGAGCCTAGCTCCTCAACAGTTTACCCCCAAATGTGGCCAAGGATTTACCAGATCAAGTGGCTCAGAAAAGAACTGACCTCTTCCCCCTACAAGAACTGGGAAATTCAATTTTTGCTAAGTGAAGGATATTAAAGCACTCACAGACTTTAACAACTGTTCTGTGCAGTTGGTGGATATTACTCCCAGTTTACAAAGGGAAACAACTTGGCTAAGGCCCAAGAGGCCAGGAGTGGGTCTGTGAGGGGCCTGGCTCCATCTCTGCTTTACCTGTAAGACTGCAGCAAGAGGTTTGGAGGATTACCCCTGCCATGCCTCACCTCCTCCTTCTTCTTCTTTGGTTTGCTCTCCTCCCCCTTGTCCTCCGTGTCGGACTCAGCCTTGCGTTTGCTCCCCTCTGATTTCTCACTCTCATGTGCTGTCTTCTGGGATTGGAGGAACTCTGCAATGAGGTCAGGGCAGTCGAGGTTCTCCTCTGGCTCCCATGTGTTATCCTCGCTGAAATAAAGTGATGGCTTGGAGTCAGTTTGAGAGCCTCCCGCTCAGGGCAGGGGTATGGACAGTAAATGAGGGACAAGCAATACCACTAAGGTGCCACCAGAGATTACCCTCTGGCTGTATTTGGCATCATGAGACAGGCCTGGGTACCTATCTGGGAGGCAAAGAGAGGGGAAGCTGCATCTCTCACACAGGTAGGTGTTTCTGCTTTCCCTTCTAAACCCATCCACTTTACAGTCACAACCTGGCACTTGCCTTTCTGGGAGAAGATAAAGCCCGTAAGGCAACAATATCAAGTCCCCATTTTTATTAGACTGGATTAATTGCCCAGATCTGAGTGCACCCCAGAGGCTGAGGACTGCTAGAGTCTGTGGACAGCCCATTCCAGTTTCCTCAAGGGGGAAGTTTCTGACTCCAGCTCAGCTAGCTGGGTGTTCTCTTGTGCACTTACATGGATCCTATTACTACAATATCTAAGCACCTCTCAGCCTTCAGTGCATTTATCCTCACTCTCTCCTAAGTGATGGCTGGACTGTAAGCCCTGCCATACAAAGGAAGAACTTAAGGCATTTAAGCTCTTTCTGCCTATCTAAGGCCACACAGAGAGCCTGGAGACTTGAACCCAGGTCTCTCAAGTGCAAGACACTAGCCACAGCACCTCCACATAACCTTTCGTACCTGTACTGAGCAGGTGGGGATGTATTATGTCCACTTACTCTGAGAAGCCTTTCCACTTCAGCAGATACTCCACTTTGCCTTTCACCACCCGCCGATCCAGAACCTTCTCTACCACATATTCCTCCTCCTCTTCCTCTAAGACTTCTTCCACTTTCTTCTTGTTCTGCTTTTTTCCCATTGTGCTGGCCAGCTTTTCAGCTTACGGGCGACGCTGCTAAAGTTGGGAGGAAGTCACACACATCAGGGTGGGGTACAACTCCCCCAGGAAGCAAGAGAAACCATGCTACAAGGAGTCAAAGCACAAGGCAGCAGTGCTGGCTTTTGAAAAAGAACAATGCACATACACAAAGCAGCGAAGAGGTGGCAAGAGCCTGGCAGAACAGTCCTGGCTCACTGCAGGGCAGAGAATTCAATTAAACAAACGCATGCAGATCCAGCCTCCCATATGTACAGGACTGGCTATGGCCTCTTCCGCATCAAATTCAAGCTCCTCAAAGCTGTACTCAATTCCTCCTCCCTCCACCCTCTAATAGCCATATATACTTTCCCAGGTCCTGGACGTCACTCTTCCCATGATATTGGTCATCACATCAGCCCCTATTCATGAGGTGCTGTTCAAGCCCTTCTGCTCAGTCTCATCTGTTCTCCTGAAGAAGCCCCCATAATCAGACCTACCCAACTCCATTCTCATTCCGAGACTTCTCTTTTCCCAAATGGGTCCTACCACGTCTTGCCTCATTTGATTCTATTATTGAGGTATCAAGCTGGGCTTCAACATCCTTGGAAGTCTGTGGGCACCTTATCAGCATTAACAGATTTCCCTTCTGAACACCACCTCTCAGGCAGGTAAATATCCCCATTGCGCTAGTGAGGAAATTAGTCACAAAGACTGAGTTACCCTAGGTTACATGAAGGGTCTGCGGCAGAGCTAAGAATACCTGGGTACCAGCTCAATGCCTTACACACACAACCAGCCTTCTTCCACACAGACAATGGAAACAGAGCTGGGAAGAGCACCAGGATCTCCAGCTTCCATCAAGACATATTCTTTTATAGGCACCTGTCTGTCTGCGAGACAAGAGATTTGCACTAAATGAGGCATCAGTTCGCTGAATGTTTGTGAATATGGCTGAAGAGCCCAATTCTTAAATGACAATCTCTTCTGCACTTATCACATGTAAAGTGTGTATCAAACAGTCCTGAATGTGAAGCAGGGATCTTCCTGAGGTTCTCTCTTTCCTCAGCATGTTAGGCTCTTATTTAGTCAAAAACCTTCATTCTATGCTTAATAGACTATTTCCAAGCATTTTGATCAACAACAATCTTCTCCCAGTCATCTGGCTCCAATGTTTGCTGCCTCCCTCTCTTGCAAACATCTTTGAAATGGAGATAAGGATGCCCATGTGATTTTCTTTCCTGTAAAGAGGTCTCCATAGAAGAGATCCTTAGGTATAGGACCATCGTCCATTTTCTGCATGTGGCCAAGCCATCAAAGTCATCGCTAAGAGGATGGATGCTCAGAACGTTGGCACATTCCAAGCCTTCAGCATGGGAAACTTTGTCCTGCCAGGAAATTCCTAGAACGTGGCAAAGGCAACATAAGTGGAAGCTGTTGAGACACTTTTCTTGAGTAGAGTATGTGGCCCTGGATTTGGTGCCATACAAGAGGGTGTGCATGACACAAGTATGATATACTTCGACCTTGGTCTTAACAGTCAGTTTGTTGTTGTTCTACATTCATTTGCTTAGCATCCTCCTGACACCTGATGCTCTGCCAAATGGGTATTCAATTCAGCCTCAAGTAACAGGCTGTTGGTAACAATGGAGCTAAGATATATAAATTTACTTATAATATCCAATATGTTTTCACCTATTGTGATCACTGGTGGTAAACCAATGTTCTGATTTCAAAGTCTGGTCCACTCAACTACTTAGCTCAATTCAAGCCCCTGCTCACATTACACTGATTTCTCCTCTGCAATAACAAGTCAGATGCACTGATAAACGTGTGTGCGTGCGTGCTTAACTGGAGAGCTCCAATCTGTCCACACCTTCCCCAAGCTACCTCTCTCTACCTTACCAGGCACAGGGCATCATTTACCCTCACTAGCCAATTAAGTTAAATGCAAAAGATCTTGAGTGTTTTTAGCTCAATAAGAAGCAGTGAGTACAGCCTGGAGTTCAGCATTTCCCCCTATAACTATTTACTATGGCCTTAGGTTAGTCATTTGGATATAGCTTCCTTATCAGCAGAGCTGTAAGGAAGCCAACACTCTGGTTTGGGGATGTAGGCTGTAGCCATGTTGGTCTAAGGACATAGGCAGACAAGGTTCTTTGGGTGAATTGGATATCTTTTATTAGACAAACTTAAATAGTTGGAAAAACATTTTTTAGCAAGCTTTCAGGTTTAAAAACCCTTAGTCAGGCTGAGGAAGTCTTTGCAGTTGGTGTGTGGTCTTCCACACTCTGGTTTTGCTTTGCATTTCCTAGGTACAAGGAATATAGTCAAGTATTAGGGACCAACCCTGTAACAACCCAAGCTTCCTTCCCTCCTCCCCTAGCTAAAACAATACAGCTACAGGGAGCATGAGGGCAGCACCCAGACAAGCCCAACCCCCACTCCCCACTGACTCTCTTTGCTGTACAAGGTGTAGTAGCTCACAACAGGAGTCTCCCCTCCACCATTCACAGGAGTTGCTGATTGTAATCTGTGCGCGAGGGTCCCCTGCATCTGCACTGGAAAAGACCCCATGCAAATAACCCAGCATTATAGGTAACAATGTCACCTGCATGTTCCGAGCTGTCACTTACACTCAAATTCTGCCACAGCACTAGGGCAGAGATACATCATGGGCTGGGGAAGATCTGGCAGATGAAAAAATCTAACAAGACTGTAAGGCAGGATCAGGTAAGCTAATGTTTGGGAGGGGGGGCGAGGAAATAGGGACATGGGAAAGGGTTTTTACAGAGGGCCTTATGCTGTTCATTTGTACAGATGTTCGGACATAACTGAGTTTTGTAATCATGCCCAAGAAAGCTGGATGGATGCACCCAATGTAAGGGGGAAAGCCCCGACTTTTAGGACCTGCAGTGATAGGGAAGAAGTTCAGGCAGACAAAACCATCAGTCCCTTGGTCAGTAATACAATATGCTACACACAGTATCCAAATGTAGAAGATCAGTGTTATTTACCCACTCTTAACAAACAGAAAGGTGAGGCATGTAGAAGTGAAGTAATGAGGTTATGGCACAATGGAAACAGAGCTGGGAAGAGCACCAGGATCTCCAGCTTCCATCAAGACGTATTCTGTCCTGATGAACTGCCTGCTGTGCAGCTGCCCACAAAGCTACTACAGCTTGAAAGCCAAAAACGTGGTTTCTCATCAGTCCTGACAAAACAAGATTTGCCAAGCAAATGGCTGGTGACAAGTCTGACCCACCTCGTGAGTCAGGAGATTTAGCTTTGATAGAAAATGTTACTTTAAGTCCTGTACAAGAATCTTTAACCATCAAGTTATGATTTGGAGTTAGCTTGAAAAGGCTAAAAAAAAAAAAAAAATACTTGAAATCTGCTGAGGTATTGGGACACCTGTCTTCATTGAGGGATAGGATGTTGTAGCCAAGATGGTCCAGGAAGTATGCAAGAAGGAAAAGGTTTCTCACTTCACTGAGGAAGGTGTTTCAGTAACCAAAACTACAGTCTCTTGAACCTTGGGGTATAGAGTGATGAAGAGAGAATGAGGCAGTACTAAGTTGGGCAGCTGCCACTGAATTGACATCCTCTGAAGTGGGCTACACAGGTGTAACCCACACAGGACTTTTTATGGACCCTGCAGCAGCTTCAACTCAACAAAGGTGCCTCAGGTTAAGAGGCATTTTACTGGGAGCTGCAGTCAGTGTCAGAGCAGGACAGGGTGGTCTACAGCACACCAGAAACTGCTTTTTGGTCTTATTTACCTCTTTAGTCTCTCCAATTCTTCTCTCTTTAGAGGTTTCCAAGTACAGCAAAGGGGCTTGTAAAACAAGTCAAGAGTATACTCAGGTTGCATTAATAGAAGTGCCACCTGCAAGCAAGAAGCGATTTTTCCACTCTACAGGTAACTCCCGCTTAAGGCTGTTTTGCTTAGCACTATTTGGCTACAACACTCATTTTAAATTGATCTCTGATTTCACTTAACACTCAGCAAGTTTCATTATAACACACGTGGTCGCCATCTTGGGTCATTAAAAACACTTGCATTCGCCATCTTATGTCATCAAATACTGTCGTTTTGCTTAAAGCGTGTTTTGTTTAATGTTCGGCTAAGCAGGGGTTGCCTGTATTCAGAACTAATGACATCTCACCTGGAGTTGTGTGTCCAGTTTTAGGCCTTAAACTTCAAGAAGGATGTGGGCAGATTGGAAAAACTCCAGCAGAGTATAACAA